TCGATCAGGTCTGGCGTAAAGGGATTCGGGTGCCTCAGTGCTTCCTCCAAGGCCCAGAGGATGGCGCTGTGGGTGTGTTTGGAGATGTGGACAAACGGATGCGTCGACGTGGATCTGGCGTGGCGAGAAGAGATTCTCGGGGGGACGAGGGACGAGGGAACGGTGGCAGAAGCTTCTTCAAGTGGGTCTGTAAGCAGATCTTGTGAGAGCTGCCTGACTGGGCGAGGACGCTCTTGTGTGGCTCGAGATTGAGGATCGTCTCTTCGGTCGGCTGTTGCAAAGAGACCCGGGGGACTTATACCAACCGAGACTGCTTCCAAGTGGACAGGCCTTTTGGGAGAAGTTTGGGGCTGGGGACTTGGAGTACCGATGAAGCGCGGGGTGCGACGTAGACTTCGATGGGAGGACAGTGGTGGTGTCGATCTGTCTGACCTGGAACCTTGGTCGGAAGAGATGGAGGCTCCTGCTCGGTGAAGCGGCCGGTGCTGGCGCTGTAGCGCGGGAGAGGGAGAGGGAGAGGGAGTTTCGTAACGGTCGTAACGGTCGTGAGAGGCGAAAGGATCTATCGTGTTCACCTTTGCAGACGCTTCCCCCTTAGCACCGAATGGAGGGTTGGCGGACAATGTGAGAGGTCACCACTTGCGTCAGTGGTGACGGGTGATTAAAGTTGGGAAGGGGGAGTGGAATGATTGGAAAACCAGGATTGCCCTGAAGAAGGACGTTGAGCGGTCAGCGTTTGAAAGTGGGCCCGAGAGGCTGGTGTAAGAAAACAGTACGGGGGTCAAGTGAGATAGAGTGTCAGAAGTAGTGTGGCGCGGCAGGACTGGGGAATGGAAGGAAGCTCTGGAAGCTCTCGTAGCTCCGCCTGCGTGTCAGGTGTGCGAGACTCGAGCTCTGGAATGACGATGGGTAGTGGGGTAGCTTGGGCAAATTGGATTTCAAAAACTCACTGGTAAAGTCAATTGCTGGCAGGGGAAGCTGTTGCACAACAGAGTAAAGACAGAAATGCCAGTGCAGGAAATCAATTGGGGTTTGAAGATGAGCGAGATGTGCACACAGACACAGGCGCGCGATTGTTGACGTTGACAAGGAAAGTCGCACGATTGGCGTCGCAACAGAAAAAAAAGTGGGAGGTTGGAAGTTGGAGTGGTGTGGATGACGTTGCAGAAAAGCTGGTGGCGGGCAGGCCAGCAATCAGCCAAAAGAGTCAGGCACCACACCAAAAGTGAGACCCGAAGGATGAAGTGGGTTGGTTGCCCCGTTGCTCCAAGCGACAATAGACCAAAGACAAGATGATGCCAAGACTTGCTCTCTTTGGTTGTGTTGTACGCTGCACATTCAATGGTTTAGTGAGTTCCAGCACTAGTATAGACAGAGAAAAGGTGTGGAAGCAAACAGACCTGGTCGAGTGGTTCAACAAGACTTGATATTTGGACTCTTGAAGTTGAATGAAGCAGAGAAACCCTGACTTTATCTTTGGCTGGATTTATTGGGTTGCGTTGCGTTGATGTCAAACAGCGCACACTTGTTAGGCCTCGGGACCTGTTTATGAGCCTGATGATACTGTTGTCAAAATGCTGCTGCCCAACCGTGTGGTCCTGTGGTCCTGAAGAGGGCTGCAGTTCCGGGTCTCGTCAAAGCAAGGCCGCCCAACCTTCCACGTCCACCTCTGCTTCTTGCTCTCCCTCCTAGGCTTGTGTCGTCGATCTCCGCTGCCCAGGTTGACCTTTGGCAAAGCAGACGATATGTATGAGCGGTGAGAAATCTAGTGTTGGTTTCCGGGTCATAATCGCATGCCAATTGCTCCCAAATCGCATCTGGGTCTGGACCTGGATCAGGCGAAGAAGGCGTGCATCAGCGCCGGATGCTGCAGCATATATGACGGATGGGCAGGAAGAGTTGAGGCTCCCGAAAACCCAAGCTGTAGGGGTTCAAGCTCTGACGAACTGCTGCAGCAGATCTGCTGCGCTCGTCCTCCGATCTGATCTGGCCAATGCGAAATCTCGGTGAAAGTATGCGCAAAAGGTCGTGCACAGGCCGCCGCGTGTGTGTCAAGAGATTGTGTGGCTTTTACGGGGCCGTCCTCATGTCGCAGTTCGATTCGCAGAGACAACAATAGTGGCCAGAAAGAAGAGAGGGAAGTGAAACCAGGACCAACGTCCTAAGAGGACTGGTTGGAAATAGTCTTATGGCCGTGAGGGAGAATGGTAAAGTAAAATGATCAAGTCCTCCCAGACACGCTCGCTTCTCTGCATACACACCACACACCGCACACACACCTCACTCGGCGCATGCAGGTCTTGGTCGGGGTGGTGTCTGGTTCAAGCAGTGTGTACCTAGGTACTGTACGGAGTACTATGTAATGTGATGTGTCTCCGGGGATGGAAGAGTCGAAACAAGAGGTGGGGGCCGTCAGATCTGTATTGGAAAGAGGGTGTTTTAGAAAGAGAGAGAAACAGAGAGCTGCCCTTTGTGCAATGATACCAAGTCTGGATTTACCCCATCGGAAAATTAGATGCGCAAAACGAGAGATTGGAAGCCGTGCCCAAACGGTCAAACGGTCTGTGGTGACTGGGGATGCGCTGCCATTTCCGCGTAGGTATTTCCTTGTCCTTGGCTCTTTCCAGCTACCCGACTTCCCTGCCTGTATGCGGTGCCAGTATAGCTTCATCAGCTCCTTGCCTCCCTCGTTTTGCTTCAATGGTCTGCTATGCCCGATACTCTATGCTCTATACCAAATCCTCCTCCCTTTCCACCCGGCATATCCGCGGACAGCCGTGATTGCCACAGTCTCACCGACCTGAGCTTACCTTTTGTCAGCCCCCAAAATCCTGTGATGCCACCGCTATGAGCATGCAGCCATTGCAGGTACTTCATCGCTCCTCACTCCCTCGTACAACGTACACGGGCCTAATAAATCAAGGATCACCCAGCTCTTTGACAACGAACCTGTCCTGAACGGGCCATGACTAAGTTCTGACGGGCCCCCGCAGATCCAGGAACAGCAATTCACCTCAAATGTTCCAGAAGGTCCACAGTACTGTTCATTGTATGGAGCTCCGCACTCAGACTTACAAGGTAATATGCTATTATAGCTACTAATCCACCGTTCAACTATCCAAACTCTCTACGTCGTCACAGACTGGTTGCATGTAGGAACGGAATGAGTGTCTGGAAACGGAACAGGAACATACCTCGGCCTCCACGAACATAGTACACTCCTGTCCTACTGGAACATCATCGACCTTCAAAGACGGTAAAGCCAGCGCACAAACAAGATTCGACTCGGCCACCCCGTCTGTCTGCGTCCGTGCCGGCACTCCACCCGTCCAGATTCTCTATCCGAGCTGTCCGCAGCAACCTCCAAGGGAGAGGCGGTGACGTCCGTCATCAGCGAAATCGAAATGTGCGCCTCCTTCTTCAAGAAACTTAAATTTGAGCGCCTCACTCCCGTCTTGAAATCCTGGGCCGAGATGTGTGCGTTGGCAATACATGAGAGAGTGACGCCGCCATATGCACGTCGCACATCCCTGCACGAATCGTCTTGAGCAGACAAACCCAACCAGCCGGATCAGAAGTCAGGGATGCCTAGATAGCAAGGGTTACCTCATGGTGTGTGTGTGTGTCTGTTGGTCTCTCTGTACCAAGTAGATGCCAGTCTGTCTTCCTGTCTGCAGAACATCCCGGCAAATCTTCCCACAGCTGCCATCCTCGGCCGACAGCCTCCCAGCCTGATGATGAAGGTGATCCTGACTGTTCCTCGCGTGGCTTGACCGAACAATTCAGGCTTTGCCCTGCCCTACCCCTCGGCCCTGCGGGGTTTCTGCGGCTAATGCTGCCCGGCCCTCGACGACCACCTTCCCTGTCAAGCCTGGCCAGCATCAGCCCCGTCGGGATTCAGGGGACTTCTGGGTTGTTCGTGGATCACGATCAGACGGAAACGAAACTTGACAGTCGACACCGATATTCGAGGCCAAGTGTTGGTCATACTCGGAACAATTGTGTGATAGCCAAATTTTGGGGGCTCGCGGCCCAATGTAATCCGCAACTAGTGATAGCTCGGAATAACGCACAGCGCGCGCCGATTCACACCGACTACGAGATAAGGCTTACCACGGCGGGCAATAAACAACGTGATCGGGAGTAATATATCCCTCATCCCATCATCGGCATCAAGAACTGGCACGGCGCTCACCGAGATGGTGATTCCGCGAATACAATGCAACCCGGGACCATGGGGTCGATTCGGCTCCGGGTCACCCCTCTACGAACGCCGGTTCCTCAAAGACAAATCGAACGGACCGATGCCGTTTGTCATCTGCGGGTGGTGACAGTGATGTTGCGTCGTGGAACATTTCGTTATACAATCTCTTGCATTAAATTGCGGGATCTGCATTGCGGCGTGCGAGGACAGCGCCCTATCCGAGGGATCGCCTGTTCCAGATTAAGTCGAACTCAATATTTGACCTGGACGTTTGGCGTTTGGGGCCAGTCACTGTTGGTAGAAGCCAAACTTGGTCACACCTGGTAAGAAGAGTCACTGTTCAAGGGAGTCTCTTGTGCAGTACGACAACTGCGGGTATGGCCTCATCTAAGCCCGGGCGTGGCTTGGAAGACCTGTCTCTTTCGCCCATCGGATGAGTAACGGTTGGTTCTTGCGTCTGCTCCCGTGGCCTGACAATTGCAGAAAGCCTGTTACGTTACTATTCACAGGCTACGGGCCTCGGCAACAGAAGTCATCTCGGTGACCTGGAGGCTGATACCAAGCGACAGATAACATGGGACGTTATACATCGCAGCCAGCAAGCTATATCCTTTCCAGCCTCTTATGAGTTCAGGCAGGACACTGACAACTTAAAGTGTGTCAGAGGCATCAGTACCGCGTACGAAGCTCCCACCACGTCGACAGGTTTCCATTGACCCCACCAAGTAGGGCCGCACTATCCCGACTATATGGACCCCACTTTCGGGCCTGCTTGCAACAACAGCGTCCTAGAGGCGCCCGGCTAGCTCAATCGGTAGAGCGTGAGACTCTTAGCAATCTCACGATTTCTGATAAATCTCAAGGTTGTGGGGTAGGTTTAAACATTTACACCACGCGTTCGAATCTTGTATTAACGATTGCCTTAGTTCGACCCCCACGTCGGGCTCAATTCCCGTGATTGAATTCTTTTTTTGGTGTTTTTCTTCCGACTTCGTTATTTTCTACTCCGTCTTCTTCCTTTTTGCCTCTCTTGCGTTGCCGCTAGTGATAAGGATTATTCCACAGGCTCAACCCTCATCATTCATATTGCTTCTATATGACTAAGTGACTAAATCAGGCGGTTGGACCTAGTGCATGCTCAACCTACAACTTACAATGCAGCCCCGACTACATGCGCTATAGAGCTTTTGACGAATACGTCGTGGCGTCAAGAGGTGCCTAAGAGTTCTCGTATGCGGCCAATGCAGGTACACCATGAAGGGGAGACGCAGTCACACTCGGCAGTCAAAATTGTGGCACAGAGATACCACACCGTGTCCACGAAGGAATCTTCACATCCGCGCCTGGGACTCGATGTTGAGTAGTGACCAAGGATAGGCGTCCTCTTATTTTTCCCAGTCAGTAAGGCATGATATTTGGGACGACGGACTGCCCAAACGCTTGGACTTTCAGAAGATCGCCGAACCCTTTTCCCTTTGGGAAAACCCTGCAGACCTGTAAACTTTTCACGAATCGTGGTCCCGGCCCCCAGACCATGGTGCGCAAATCTACCATAGGAGGAGAAGGGAGAAGAAGATCACCACACATGGGATCGTGTAGGGAAGGCTTTCTTCGCTAACAACCGTGTTTGTATCAAAAGGCAAATGTTACCTAGGACGGAAGAGTATAGGTATAAGAGGCATAGTGGCCATGAATAGCCTTTATAAAGGGGGGTCCATGTTGTATTCGAATGACTTCTTCAGCTGCATTGTCAGCAGTATTGTGCAAGCGAGCCACCAGGGAGCGGAACGTACCTTGCTAGGCCTGCCTGCCAGCCAATCGCGGCAGAAAAGCTCACCTGGGAACCTCTATCAGCCCATTTTGCGCAGACTACGTAGTATTTGGACCCCAATCAAGTACTATATCTGCCAGAATGCATGCTATAGGGTTGCGGCTTGACCGTTGTATTGGCGGCTGAGGCTGTGCATACTGTTCCGTTCCATACGTTCCCCTTTTTTATATACGGCTGGATAGCTAATTCTCTATTGCTTCAACGTTCTACCTGCTCTCGGTTGAATGGGCTTGTGCATGTTCATTTGGATCTTTCACGATCATCACCCCACCAAACGCTAGGCTTTGACAGCTGCTTCCGCCAAGATATTAGTCTTGAATTCAGCATGCTAATGAAGTATCTTCTTCCTGGTAGCCCACCTTCATTGGTGCTTGGGCTAGTATTGTTCACTGGCGCTCTGGCCGAGTCGAGTTCATCCATTACTCAAACCTTGAATTACATCGACACCGTCTCGGGCTACGATGAGCTCTCTACTTGCGCGGAGCAGGTCCTCTCTACTGTTGTTCGTGGCCAATTCAGTGGATGCGGGGACTCAAATGCTCTCACTAGCTATACATGTTTCTGCACTGCTAGCAGCAGCTTTATGAGTGCTGTTATCTCGAAAGACGTCGTGTCCTCGTGTCCTGCTTCGGTGGCTTCTGTCCAGGCTTCCAGTGCGCTTGGGGTATTCAATGAATACTGTGAGCTAGGAGTCAGCGCAGGATTGACAACACAGACGGCTCAAAGTAAGTGGTTTGAAAGGATCGCGAAAGAAACCTAAGCGCACCGCATGTGGCTAAGCGATACTACTTTCTTGTTCTGTAGACGCAGACACTTCTACTTCCGCCAGTCCAGCGGGCACGATTGCCTCGGCCACTGCTACAGTGACAACATCATCAACGTCGACCAGCGGGAGTTCCAATTCTTCCTCCTCCACATCGCTATCCAGCACGACAGTGGCCATCCTCGTTGGCGTGCTCATACCCGTCTTTGCAATTGTGGTGGCCTTGGCCGCGTGGTTTTTCTGGAGGAAACACAAGAGAACATTGGAAAAGTCAAGGGGCTTGCCCGAGCAAGTTAATGAGTCAAATGTTGGGCCCAGTGGCTGGGCCCAAAAATCGATAGAGGCTCCGACATATGAGCACATGCAAGGCATGTCCGCCGTCCCACGCCCTGCCGAAATACTTACGACCGAGCATCCCACCGAGGTACCGGCGTACTCAAATCCTGTTGAATTGCCAGCTGGGTCATTTGAACGTGGTCAAAATACGGGTGTGGGCGGCGACCGAGATGGTTGACTACTTTCAACAGGTATAAGATGCACTGTACTCACAGATACGGAGCCCATGTCCAGGGTAAAATCTCCATCGAGATGCCATGGCTTGAGGGACATAGGTTGTCACCAAACCTCCCGTCACGCGCATACATAATAGTGGATTGCCTCGCTTCATATGTGTTGGTATCCATCATCCTACAGCAAGATCATGCAGAGTGGCTGGTACAAGCGGACCAATGTTTGAATACTTTGTAAATTAAGGGCTATCACTAATGTCTTCTTTATTGCAGAGATGCGGGCAGCGAGCGGCTAGCTAAGCGCGCCTTCAACTCACAATTGTATGCTACCTAATAAATAGTACAGCAATCGCGCCCTGTCGCCTGTCAAGCGCGTATTTGTGATTCGTGAAGAAGCAGCAGCAAAGTCGAATAGTACCCACTATAATTTGACGAGCTAAAAAGGTGCCAACAGACTAGGCGTGTCACTGTGCACGACTAACCCATAGGATAGCGCTGTTGGGGCGGCTCTCATTCGAGCGACGAACACCTACTTACACGCTCGAGCATCAGATCCGAGTGAGATTTCTCTCCACGCTTTTCATTTGCCCATTTGGCAGATCAGTTGGGTACTTGTTGGTTCACCCGCGCTGCGCCGCTCCATCAGCCATGGTGCTTCAATGCGGCCGAGCTGGCGCTTAACAAGAGCGAGGATTTTTTGATTTTTTTTCCATTGTTTCGAACGTGCTGTACTTCCTACTTTCCAATAACTTCCACTCATGTCTAAACGCCAATCATAATGCACGTTCCAAGCTCAATACGCACTCAATATGGGAAAATCACGGCACTATTTGCGGCCAGCCTCGTCTTGTACTACTTTCAAATCCTCCCGGCCTCCCGGAACCTACCTAGTCAAATCACAACATCGATGTCAGAGAATCGGCAACTTCCCAATAAGATATGGTACAAACTTGGACCGCGTGGGCTTACCGAAGAAACGCGCAATTGGACCCAAACCTGCATTGACTTGAACCCGGAGGCAGAGCACGAATTCATGACGGACGCCCTGGGTGATGAATGGGTTGCAAGAGTATATGCCGACAATGCCACTATTGTTCAGACATATCTCAATCTCACCATTCCGATTCTCAAAGCTGACTTCCTTCGTTACCTACTGCTCTTTGCCGATGGTGGTGTGTACCTTGACTTGGACGTAACTTGCCACGTGCCTATCAAAGACTGGGTACCAGAGGAATACCGATCAAACGCGAGCCTCGTAGTAGGCTGGGAATTTGATGTTGGCTGGGGCGAGGCCATTATACGGGAATTTGCAACGTGGACTATCATTTCGAAACCGCGGTCCCCTCATTTGTGGTCTCTGGTGATGGACATTATGGACTTTTTCGAGGCAAAGCGGCTGGAGGTGGGCGTGGACTCGGTCGCTGAGTTGACGTTGGCGATGGTGGGCGACATTGTCGATGCCACAGGCCCGAGAAGATTCACTCGGAGCATCTTGACAAGTTTGGGCAAAAGTATGGAAGGGGAAGAGCCAGTGGACGTCAACACCATCAAGAATTTGAGAGAGCCCAATTTGGTTGAAGATGTTCTAATTCTCCCTGGATTTTCCTTTGCAGCCGAGTCAAACCACTGGCCGCCGGATTGGACGCTTACACCCCCCTTGGTAACCCATCATGGTCTTGGATCTTGGAAAAATGAGCATGGTGGAGAGCAGCATGGCAGTGTGACCAGTAAGTAAGGGGCCAACTGGATATTAAAATTAAAGCAAGCGCCAGGATTTGAATAATTACGTGTCAAAGCAATTTTTTATTTTTTTTTAAAAAAAAAGTGAACTTACGTACGCCTTTACCAGCGGTGACAATAACTACCGACCCCTGCGGGTGTACTTATCAGCTTTTACTTTCTTTACCTACCTAGGTAATGTTAAAATAAGTATGCACGTTCCATTCAATCTGCTATTCGTGGGCCTACATGACGTTCGGGACGGCTAGCAGACTGGCATACTTGTTTACTCCATATACTAGGTTGTGGCGATTGTTACCAGTATATTAGCCCTAGGAGGCTATGGCGATGGGATATGTCAACCCTGGGAAGGAATTCAGCTTCGTGGAGGGCCGGTCCGGAAGCCCGAAAGCGCTAGGAGCGAAAGCGTTCTTATAACCATCATCAAATATCACGGGAAGTCACGATCTTCCTGATATTCGACGCTCTGCCCTTATTACCTAGGTACTTCGCTATACATGTAGTTACCTCAGGCCGTCGACTAATCCGCGGACGAGAAAATCTGCATAATCAAGGATAGAAGAGAACGCTTCGTGGAGGGTTGGTCCGGAAGCGCGAGGAGAAAGTCGTCGAGTTGTAGGAAAAGTGGCGGATGGTTGTGTCGGCGGAGCGCGTACGGATGAGGACCCGGAGGAGTTATTGGCGAAGGAGGAGGCGTGAGCGCATCTTGACGGGATGGAGCTGAACAAGCCCAGCGAATTGTTGCAGGTCAGGCTCAGCTCATGCACGCCACAAAATAAAGACGCTTCCGAATCAAGAGTCGAGCCCCCTCCCCTCCATACACGTCTTTCGTATATGCCTCCAATCGTTGCACAAGCCTCGCACTAGCGAGCATGCGGCTCTTGTCAAAGGGTGGGCACATCGGGTGCTATGTGCACCTGGGCATGAGGGCTGAGCTGGGTGGGCCACACGCTGAACAACTAATCGCATTTTCCAGAGCGCATATTTCTCTCGCCATTGATTTTACCGAAGCGTCATTGTGATCTGGAAGTGCTAGATATGCTGTATGCAAGTCTGTTCTGTGCTTCGCCCCGAAAAGGTATATAATACCTAGGGTAGGTATC